TCACGTTGCCTGGCTCCCGATGGTCTCCTCCGTAGATCGAGGATCGAGGATCGGAGAAGTTGGCCGGCAGATTCAGTTGTCGGAGACGCCCCCTTCCCCTCGATGGCTTCCCCCTCGCCTCGTTCACGATCCCTCCCCAGGATCCTGGTCCCTGACCAAGTGTCCCACCTACCCCGTTCACGATCCCTCCCGAGGATCCTGGTCCCTGACCAAGTGTCCCACCCTCTCCCGTTCCTGATCCTTCTCCAGGATCCTGGTCGTGTCCCACCCTCCCCTCGTTCCCGATCCTTCCCCAGGATCCTGGTCCCTGACCGAGTGTCCCACCCCACCGTTCCCAATCCTTCCCCAGGATCGTGGCCTCACACCGAGTGTCCCACCTACCCCGCTCACGATCCTTCCCCAGGATCCTGGCCGTGTCCCACCTACCCTCGTTCACAATCCTTCCCCAGGATCCTGGCCGTGTCCCACCTACCCTCGTTCACGATCCTTCCCCAGGATCCTGGCCTCGCACCGAGTGTCCCACCCCCACCGTTCACGATCCTTCCCCAGGATCCTGGCCTCGCACCGAGTGTCCCACCCCCACCGTTCACGATCCTTCCCCAGGATCCTGGTCCCTGACCGAGTGTCCCACCCTCCTCGTTCCTGATCCGTCCCCAGGATCCTGGTCCCTGACCGAGTGTCCCACCCCCACCGTTCACGATCCTTCCTCAGGATCCTGGTCCCTGACCGAGTGTCCTACCACCCCCCACCGTTCCCGATCCTTCCCCAGGATCCTGGCCTCACACCGAGTGTCCCACCCCCACCGGTCACGATCCTTCCCCAGGATCCTGGTCCCTGACCGAGTGTCCCACCCCCACCGTTCACGATCCTTCCCCAGGATCCTGGTCCCACACCGAGTGTCCCACCCTCCCACCGTTCACGATCCTTCCCCAGGATCCTGGTCCCTGACCGAGTGTCCCACCCCCACCGTTCCCGATCCTTCCCCAGGATCCTGGTCCCTGACCGAGTGTCCCACCCCCACCGTTCACGATCCTTCCTCAGGATCCTGGTCCCTGACCGAGTGTCCCACCCCCACCGTTCCCGATCCTTCCCCAGGATCCTGGTCCCTGACCGAGTGTCCCACCCCTACCGTTCACGATCCTTCCCCAGGATCCTGGCCTCACACCGAGTATGGTGACATCATTTTTGTCCCTGCACATGCGACTACATGTGTATATATACATGCAACTATATATATACATACGGCTATATACATTTGTGAGTGAGGGGTGAGTGGGTGGGTGAATGAGTGAGTGGGTGAGTGGGTGAGTGAGTGAGTGGGTGATTAAGTGTGTGAGTGAGTGGGTGAGTGGCTGAGTGAGCGAGTGTGTGGGTGAGTGAGTGAGTGAGTGGGTGAGTGAGTGAGTGAGTGGGTGAGTGAGTGAGTGGGTGAGTGAGTGGGTGAGTGAGTGAGTGGGTGAGTGAGTGAGTGAGTGGGTGAGTGAGCGAGTGAGTGGGCGATTGAGTGAGTGGTGAGTGAGTGGGTGAGTGAGTGGGTGAGTGAGTGGTGAGTGAGTGAGTGAGTGGGTGAGTGGCTGAGTGATTGAGTGAGTGGGTGATTGAGTGAGCGAGTGAGTGAATGAGTGAGCGAGTGAGCGAGCGACTGGGTGAGCGAGCGAGCGAGCGAGTGGGCGAGTGGTGAGGGTGGTGAGTGGTGAGGAGCCTCACCACTCGCTGTGTGTTCACACAGGCGGTGAATGGTGAGGGCGTGGAACGCTACTCCGTGACGGTGCAGCAGGAGGATGCCTGCCTGATTGTCTCTCGCAGCAGCGACCCACAGCTCTCACTCAGCATCACACTCACCTCGCCAGCACTCACCTCGCCAGCAGGTGAGGCTCGCCCGCTCGCTCACCCACACGCTCACCCGCTCGCTCACCCACACGCTCACCCGCTCGCTCACTCACTCGCTCGCTCGCTCACCCACTCGCTCATCCGCTCACTCACCCGCTCACCCGCTCACTCATCCGCTCACTCGCTCGCTCACCCGCTCGCTCGCTCACCCGCTCGCTCACCCGCTCGCTCGCTCACCCGCTCGCTCACTCACCCGCTCGCTCACCCGCTCGCTCACCCGCTCACTCAGACACTCGCTCACCCGCTCGCTCACCCGCTCACTCGCCCACTCACTCATCCGCTCACCCGCTCACTCATCTGCTCACTCGCCCGCTCACCCGCTCGCTCGCTCACCCGCTCGCTCACCCGCTCGCTCACCCGCTCACTCACCCGCTCACTCGCCCACCCGCTCACCCGCTCACTCATCCGCTCACTCGCTCGCTCACCCGCTCGCTCGCTCACCCGCTCGCTCGCTCACCCGCTCGCTCACCCGCTCACTCACCCGCTCGCTCACCCGCTCACTCACCCGCTCGCTCACCCGCTCACTCAGACACTCGCTCACCCGCTCGCTCACCCGCTCACTCGCCCACTCACTCATCCGCTCACCCGCTCACTCATCCGCTCACTCGCCCGCTCACCCGCTCGCTCGCTCGCTCACCCGCTCGCTCACCCGCTCGCTCACCCGCTCACTCACCCGCTCACTCGCCCACTCGCTCATCCGCTCACCCGCTCACTCACCCGCTCACTCATCCGCTCACTCACCCGCTCACTCTTCCGCTCACTCGCCCGCTCACCCACTCGCTCGCTCAACCGCTCGCTCACCCGCTCACTCATCCGCTCGCTCACCTGTTCGCTCATCCGCTCAACCGCTCGCCCACCCGCTCACTCATCCGCTCACTCGCCCACTCGCTCATCCGCTCACCCGCTCACTCATCCGCTCACCCGCTCACTCATCCGCTCGCTCACCCATTCACTCATCCGCTCGCTCACCCATTCACTCATCCACTCCCTGACCCGCTCGATCAGATACTCACTCACTCAATCATCCACTCGCTCACTTGCTCACTCAGACACTCACTCACCCACTCACTCAGACACTCACCCACTCACTCAGACACTCACTCACCCTCTCACTCACCCACTCACTCACTCACCCACTCACTCAGACACTCACTCACCCTCTCACTCACCCACTCACTCACTCACCCACTCACTCAGACACTCACTCACCCTCTCACTCACCCACTCACTCACTCACCCTCTCACTCACCCACTCACCCACTCACTCACCCTCTCACTCACCCACTCACCCACTCACTCACCCACTCACTCAGACACTCACTCACCCGCTCATTGACCCTCTCACTCAGACACCCGCTCACTCACTCGCCCACCTACTAACTCACCTACTCACCAACCCACTCATCCAGTATACACTACACTACTATACACTACACTATACACTACTATACACTACACTATACACTACACTATACACTACTCTATACACTACACTATATACTACACTATATACTACACTATACACTACACCATACACACTATACACTACATGCTACACTACACTATACACTACACTATACACGCTACACTACACCATACACACTATACACTACACTACTATACACGCTACACTACACGCTACACTACACTATACACTACTATACACACTACACTATACACACTATACACGCTACACTACACTATACACACTATACACGCTACACTACACTACACGCTACACTACACCATACACATGCTACACTACACGCTACACTATACACACTATACACGCTACACTACACGCTACACTACACCATATACATGCTACACTACACGCTACACTATACACACTATACACGCTACACTACACTACACCATACACACTATACACGCTACACGCTACACTACATGCTACACTACACTACACGCTACACTACACTACACACTACACTACTATACACTACATTATACACACTACACTACACCCTACACTACACTACACACTACACCACACCCTACACTACACCACACCCTACATTACACTACACCCTACACTACACTACACACTACACTACACACTACACTACTATGCACCACGCTACACCCTACACTACACTACACCACACCCTACACTACACGCTACACTACACTACACGCTACACACTACACACACCACACACTACACTACACTACACACTACACTACACACTACACTACACACTACACTACACACTACACCCTACACTACACTACACACTACACTACACGCTACACTACACACTACACCACACCCTACACTACACTACACACTACACCACACACTACACCACACACTACACTACACCACACCCTACACTACACCACACACTACACTACACGCTACACTACACACTACACCACACACTACACTACACACTACACTATACGCTACACTACACTACACGCTACACACACCACACACTACACCACACACTACACTACACCACACACTACACTACATCACACACTACACTACACACTACACCACACGCTACACTACACCACACACTACACTACACGCTAGACCACACACTACACTACACACTACACTACACCCTACACTACACTACACACTACACCACACACTACACTACACACTACACTACACGCTACACACACCACACACTACACCACACACTACACTACACACTACACTACACACTACACTACACACTATACACTACACCACACACTACACTACACGCTACACTACACTATACCACACACTACACTACACACTACACTACACTACATGCTACACCACACACTACACCACACACTACACTACACCCTACACTACACTACACCCTACACTACACCACACACCACACCCTACACTACACTACACACTACACTACACGCTACACTACACTACACCCTACACCACACACTACACCACACACTACACACTACACTACACGCTACACCACACACTACACCACACACTACACTACACCCTACACTACACTACACACTACACTACACACTACACTACACACTACACTACACCCTACACTACACCACACACTACACACTACACCACACACTACCCTACACACCACACTACACTACACCCTACACTACACTACACACTACACTTCACACTACACTACACACTACACTACCCTACACTACACACTACACTACACACTACACCACACACTACACTACACTACACACTACACGCTACACTACACTACACACTACACCACACGCTACACTACACCCTACACTACCCTACACTACACTACACCCTACACTACACACTACACTACACTACACACTACACTACACCACACACTACACTACACCCTACACTACACACCACACACTACACTACACCACACACTACACCACACACCACACCCTACACTACACTACACCCTACACTACACTACACACTACACTACACCACACACTACACTACACTACACACTACACTATACACTACACTACACACTACACTACACACTACACCACACACTACCCTACACACCACACTACACTACACCCTACACTACACACTACACTACACTACACACTACACTACACCACACACTACACTACACCCTACACTACACCCTACACTACACTACACCCTACACTACACTACACGCTACACACTACACCACACACTACACTACACACTACACTACACTACACACTACACTACACGCTACACTATATACTACACTACACACTACACTACACACTACACTACACGCTACACCCGCCACTGAACAAGAGCAGCCCCTCTCCGCCACTCAAACCGAGCGTCAGCCACCTCCCTTTCACTCTGCCACCGCTGCCTTCAAACTTCCCCGCAGGCTCCTCACGTGGACATCGGTGAACTTGGACGCAGGCTTTGTCGGAACGGTTAGAACGGTTTAAAACATTAACAACAACAACAAAAAACCGAATGAAACGCGCGGTCAAAATAAATCCGCGCCGCTGGAGTTAACTTCCCGGCGAGATTGATGGTAAAAATTCGGTCACGTGGGGAGTTAACTTCCCGGCGAGATTGATGGTAAAAATTCGGTCACGTGGGAGTTAACTTTCCAGGGAGTTTCGTGGTAAAAATCCGGTCTCGTGGGAGTTAACTTCCCGGCGAGATTGATGGTAAAAATTCGGTCACGTGGGAGTTAACTTCCCGGCGAGATTGATGGTAAAAATTCGGTCACGTGGGAGTTAACTTCCCGGCGAGATTGATGGTAAAAATTCGGTCACGTGGGAGTTAACTTCCCGGCGAGATTGATGGTAAAAATTCGGTCACGTGGGAGTTAACTTCCCGGCGAGATTGATGGTAAAAATTCGGTCACGTGGGAGTTAACTTCCCGGCGAGATTCGCGCTGAAAATCCGGTCACGTGGGGAGTTAACTGGCCAGCGAGATTGATGGTAAAAATCCGGTCACGTGGGAGTTAACTTTCCAGGGAGTTTCGTGGTAAAAATCTGGTCTCGTGGGAGTTAACTTGCCAGGGAGATTGATGGTAAAAATTCGGTCACGTGGGAGTTAACTTCCCGGCGAGATTGATGGTAAAAATTCGGTCACGTGGGAGTTAACTTGTAGAGTGAGATTGATGGTAAAAATTCGGTCACGTGGGAGTTAACTTGCCAGGGAGTTTCGTGGTAAAAATCCGGTCTCGTGGGAGTTAACTGGCCAGCGAGATTGATGGTAAAAATTCGGTCACGTGGGAGTTAACTTTCCAGGGAGTTTCGTGGTAAAAATCCGGTCTCGTGGGAGTTAACTTGCCAGGGAGATTGATGGTAAAAATCCGGTCACGTGGGAGTTAACTTGTACAGTGAGATTGATGGTAAAAATCCGGACTTGTGGGAGTTAACTTGCCAGAGAGATTGATGGTAAAAATTCGGTCACATGGGAGTTAACTTGCCAGTGAGATTGATGGTAAAAATCCGGACTTGTGGGAGTTGTACAGTGAG